TTTTCAAGTCTCTCGTGCCAGACACTGTGTTATATTAGATACCAAAATCAACGACAGAGTAACTCTTCTTAAAGATTTAAGAGTGGAGTGGGAAATACAGACACGTTAGCAAATGTAGTATTTTCCCAGGGTAGTGGACCTCACTTCAGGGATACTCCCCACCCCCAACTCCAGCCACGGGCATCTGATGTCAGCTGAAAACTCACTGCGGCCTCCCTGGGCCATGTCTGGTTCCCCTCCTCTCTGGCCACAGTCGGAGTCCAGCCCCAGGTTATCCTCGTGGAGGTGTGTGCGGGGCTCTCCTTCCTCTGTGCTTATGAGGCTGTGAGACACGTCCAGAGCTGCCCAGGATCTGTCTTGAGCCCCATGGGGACAACCAACCCCAGAGAATGGGGACGAGGGGAGGACCTTGTGGATGTCTGGAGGAAGGGCCTTTCAGGAGAAGGGGACAAGGGCAGAAGCCCTGCATGTTCTCACAGAAGGTCAGCATGGTCCCAGAGAAGGGCGGGCAGAGCAGCAGGAGATGAGGTCAGACAGGCAGAGGGCAGATCACAGAAGCCTCTGAGGCAACAAGTTTTACTTTGAATCTTACTATGAGAGAGATGACAAGCATGGATTGACATTGTCCAACTTCTGCTTTTAAAAGATCGCTCTCTACATGGAATATCTTGTAGGGGGTGGGCAGAGACGAGAACAGGGAGACCAGTGAGGAGGCACTGCCAGCCCAGGGAGAGACGTGGACGGCTTGGACCGGGAGGTATTGGTGGAGGAAGTGAGGAGTGATTGGGTTGCAGACCTATTTCAAAGGTCAAGCCAATAGGATTTTTTTGGTGGACTGAATGTGCATTTAGAAGAAAAAGAGGGGAGGGAGACGACTCCAAGGGCTTTTCCCTAAACAGTTGGAAAAATGGAGCTGTCATCTGAGATGGGGTAGGTGGAGGAGGTATGGGAGTGGGTAATCGAGGGTTCAGTTCTGGACAGTGGCTGGCGCCCACGTATAATTACTATTAATGATACCCTGGCAGGGCAAGTTGTTAAGAGAGGATTTTTAATACCAGTTATTTTCCTCTTTGTCGCTCCCTGGCATTTCCTCCCCGTCCCTCCTCCCAGCCTCGTGTTAGCATTGATAACCTTCACATGTGAGGGATTAATGCACGTGGGGAGGAGCGGAGAGGGGAGGCCCCCACCCAGGTACTCCAGTTACAAAGCCTGGTACAGTGAGCGGCGAGCCACCACCGCGGGTAGAGCTCTTCAGCACTGGCTGCTCCCAGCGAGACAGCAGCAAGATTTTCTTCACCTGGCCTCTCTCTGATCATCAGTAATTGCTCTTGGGGACCAAGTAGACATGAGTCTAATCAGTCAGGAGTGAGTACCTGGCAGGTTTTGCTGTCTGATATCATGAACTCGAGAGGAAGCAGAGCGGGTTCTGCTTTGGGAAGGTTAGAAACATCTCATGCTAACAGGTAAGAGAAAGTTCTCTTTGTTCTTTGCTTTTTTTTTTAAACTTCATAGAATTTTCTAGAATTCTGCCTGGGGTACAGGCAGAGAGCTGCCTGCAGTAAGAATGGGTAGTATAAGGTAACTATTTAAATTGTCAAGGAAGCAGGTTTTGCTCCCCAGGAGGAAGGCAGTGGGAAGTTTGTCCCATTCATTGTGGAGCTGACCACGCGCCCCCTCGGCCTGGCACGAACTTGGGTGCAGCAGTGCGCTGGGCTCAGCGTGCTCAGCTGGCTGTTGCTATGGAATTTTGTCCTGCAATCAAAGCCTCTGCCTTGATAATTTAATTGCACTTAAAAAAAAAACAACCTTGAATTTGAGTAAATCCTGAGAATATCATGAGAGCTTTTGATTAATGTAAAATTAAAGCTCTTTCAGAAGCATTAATTGAATAAAAAGAGCACTATTCAAAAAGCTGTAAGGACGTCCCAAGCCATTTAAAGATATACAGTCATTATCTAAAAATCTGGTTAATTAAGCTACTGATATCAAACATTTTGACTTCAGAGTACTTTATGTATGTTTATGTTTCTATCTCATCTTCTTGTTGCCCTGACCCTTTGGTATCTTTTTATTTCCTATTGACCTATCCTGAATCTCTTCTTTTCCATGTTAGCTGGCAAACAAGCCCTAGAATATTTCCAGTTCCATCTTTCTCAGCATCCTTCTTGCTGGCCAAGGGTGGGTGAGATTCATAATTAAAAGTGATCCAAAAAAGAATATGAAAACAAACATGTGTATGAATATGTATGAGTGAACTATTATGCTGTACACCAGAAATTGACACACTATTATAAACTGACTATACTTCAATACAAAAAATTCTTTTAAAGCATTTGTGTGGGAAAAAAGTGATCCACTTCTGGGATAGCTGAGATAAAACATGCTTTTAGGTTGGCAGAGGAATTTGGATTTTGACTATTGAAAGAAACAAATTGTAAGCATGATATGAAATTAGTATTAAGATTGACCAACAGTACACTTAAAAGATTGGGAAATTGCTCTTCCCCCCAGTAAGGTAAAAGAAACCATTCAGTTAGGGCCAAACACCACCCTCAAGGCCCTTGGCGTAATCCTGTTACCAGCGGGCGTGGGTCGCCTTGCTCTTGGTCTTGTGAAACCACAGGGACCAGCTAGGGTGCTTAGTGCCTCGCAGGGGTCATGGGAGACCCACGATGCCCAAACATTAAACAATTGATTATCTTACAACATACATTTGTTGGTAGAGGGTACCCCAAGGTTGGTTAATTCAACAATGCAAAGGTGTAACCGAACACAGATATTTTTTCCATCCTCGTTGTTCAGGCTTTTGGGCTCACATATGTCCTGTTGCAAGATGGCAACAGCATCTCCATCCACATCTGAGGCAGGAAAGGAGCTCAGTTTTCTCCTTTCCTTCACTTTTTAAAAGCACGAGAACCTTTCCCGTAGTCAGCCAGTGGACTTACACTCACACACCCGACTGGCCAAAGTTGTGTCTCATGCTCATGAGTAAACCTAAACCAGCAAGGAGAGCAGATTACCCTGGTTGTCTTAAACCCCACGATTCGTCCCCCCAAGACTAGGGAGAAGCCATGCCTCTCGTGGTGGGCAAGACCCCCAAGACCTACCCAAGGCAGAGTTCCGTCAGCAGGGGAGGTGGGGAGAGATGGCTGCTGGGCGGGAACGACAGGCAAGCAGCAGCATTTCCTTCCACACATCTCTGGTTTTCTTCCCATATCCCAGCTGAACCCCTTAGTCCCCTTTGCTTACTCCTCTTCCCTCTGCCTGTCCTCGAAATACTGGGACTCCTCAGCACTCAGCCGAGCCCTCTTCTCTCCTCCATGTGTGCTCTCCTCTCAGCCCTGCGGTTTTAAATGCCACCTACATGCTGCTAATGCTCCAGATATATATCTTCCACCCAGATCCTTCTCTGGGCTCCGTATTTGGACATCTAACTGCACACTTGATGGCTCTCCTGTCACGTCTCAGAAGCATCTCAAACGTGTATGTCCAAAACCAAACTTTTTATTTTCCCCTAAACCAGCCCCTCTCCAGGCTTTCCCATCTTAGTGGTTGGCACCTCCATCTGCCCAGTGTCTCAGAACAGATGTCTGGGATGTCTTGATTCGAACCTTCCCTAACTGCTCATGAAAACCCCCCCTTCTTTTATTCAACATGGCATCTAGCGTGCCACTCCCACCGTAAGTGTCCAGCCCACAGTAGGTACTCAATAAATATTTGTTGAAAATGATCAAGTGTGCTTGTGTGGTACATCCTTGACTGGAGAGTGGAAACATGGAGGTTTAGAAAGAGCCTGAGCGTAGTAATATGTCGCATTCTGTTAAAGATGTTCGTGTGGGAGTGAATTGAAAGAAGCATTGACAATACTTTCTGAGAATTATAATGCCACTCTTCCTCCCCAGTTCAAGCATAATCCCACCAATCTTTTGACAGGACTTCCATGGGAGCTAAAGGAGTAGAGATGAAATCTCACAATTTACTTGGAGCTTCTCTCGGATGTATTGGCCTCCTTGTGGCTCCTGTCACGAAGCCATGTTTGATGGCACAGTGCATAACAAGAGCCCAACATGAATTCAAATGGTGATGCATGATCTGCATTTTCTCTCAGTGAGGCTTGCGATCAGTGACCACTGAAACAGAGAGCAGAGGGATGCTCTTTTCTTTCCCAACATCAGTGACACTGAATGCTGTAATGTTTGAAAGATGGGGGATTTTAACAGCCAGGTACTGCTGCATAATGAGTACCTATAAAATCTTGGTGGCAATGAGCATTTATTTCCCATTCGTCTGCAGCTTGGCTAAAGTGGCTCATCTGGGCTGGGTACTGCTGGGGTGGTGCTGGATTTGATTCTGGTGGGGTGGGGAGGGGTGACTGCTCCACATGTATTCATTCTGAGCGCTGCTGAAGGGGCAGCGGCTGCCCAAGGGAAGTTCTTCTCACAGTGCTAACAAAAAACACAGAAGGGCAAGTGGAAATTCTTGAAGTCTCTTAAAGCCAAGGCTCAGAACTAGCACACTGCCGTTCTGGATCAAGCTATAGGATCAAGCCCAAAGTGGAGGGCAGTGCACAGTGCCCTTTGTGGGATGGTCTACAGAGCTACAGGGCAAAAGGCATGGATGCAGGGAGGAGGGAGGAGCTGGAACAATACTTCAGCCTGTCCGAGTATGCACTACACAACAAAGAAAGCAGAAGAGAAAGCTTGGGTTCAGCTCGAACAGATCAAGTCCAGGGTGGGGCTGCCTCTCCCTCTGCTCTGTCTGCTCTTCTCTGCAATTCACACTACACTTTATGGTCCCTTTGAAATAGACTACCCAGTGTAGGCCCATCCCTCTCAAATCCGTGCCATTTTTTGTCTATTTAGTAACACCCGGACCACATCCCAGGCTGGTGCCCGCGATGATTTCTTAGTACGGCTGTTATGGGAGGCATTTCATTTCACATCTGCTGACACAATTTGCTGTCTCTCTAAAAATTAAAAAAAAAAAAAAAGAAAGAAAGAGAGAGGGAGATTCATACTCTGACGGCTGTAAAGGATAATGAGTAATTTATTCAGAGCTATATACAAATCAGACTATCGTCTTCCAGACAGAATCAATAATATAATTTTAAGCCCACACACATTTACAAATGCGAACACTCCAGCGCAGCTGGGTTGCCATGGGCAACCAGGGCATGCCAGCTCGTGATCTGAAACAGGCCGATGTCTCCCAGCCTGGTAAGTGCATTCTGCAGACAGACTCCAAGGGAGCAGAGGATGTTAGTGTTGGCTCTGATCAGGCCGCCGCACAAATGCACCCCTCTGATGGTTTGGATTAGTTCTCATCTGAACTGCACTGCTTTTTCAAACTCTTATTTGCACAGGGCTTCTTCAATATCCCGTCTGTGTCTGTGTTGAAGCAGGCTGGGGGGTGGAATGGGGAGGCGCGTGATGGAGCCATGTGGACTACAGCAGGTGGCATGACCCACACCCCAAAGCTCCTGACAGTCTGAGGTCAGATCAGCAACAGGCAGGGCTCAGGTCAGAGGCCAGGAGGCAGGCTGACTGGTCAACTGGAAAGTGGTCTTCCCCAAAAGGGGGCCTGATCAGATGTCGAGAGCTGATGTATGTTGGTTTGAAAAATAAGAGGAAGAAACAGGAAGGCATAAAGTGGAAAGTGAAGGTGGTTTGGGTAAATGCAAACACTGGGAGTGGGGTGAGGGGTAAGTAGGTCCCTTCAAAGGGCTGGGGGGAGGGGGGCACACAGGAATGAAACGTGATGGTTCCATTAAATATGTCAGTACAAACCTAAATTCATTGTCAGGAGAGCCTGTCTTAGCTCAGGTGGCCATGACAAAACGCCATAGATTGGGGGCCTTAAACAACAACATTTATTTCTCACAGTTCTGGGGGCTGGAAGCCCAGGCACTGGGTGCCCGCATGGTGGGGCTCTTGCAAGGGGCTCTCTTCCTGGCTTATGGACAACCAGCTTCTCTTTGGATCCTTGCATTGTGGAAAGCGAGATCGCCTTTCTTGTGTCTATTTTTATAAAGGTGGCAATCCCCTTCGTGAAGGCTCTACTCTCATGGCCTTACTACTTCTCCAAATATCAGCATATTTGGCATTACGGCTTCAACATATGACTCTGGGGGGACAGGACACAAACTATGAATTATGGGATGTTCCTCGTGAGAGAGCCACTGATATTCGCAAGAACCACGAAAACATTTCATTAAGAATAAGGAGATATTTTTGATGATACCATAACATGACCTGTCCCCACCCCACTGACTAGTCTTGGTCAGATTCAAAGAGCAGACCGGTAGAGAGCTCTGGGCTACACCCTACACCCACCCCAGAAATCCTCCTTGACTTAAAACTGAGGCTTCTCCCTCAGCTGACACACCTGCTACAGCGGGGAGGTGCCTTGGGTGGGGACAGTGCGAGCAGAAGGTCTTAGGTGAGACCAGCACTGGGTGTTCCTAGACAGAAGGAGACCCAGAGCCTAAAGGTGTGAGCTGGGGTGGGATCCCATCAGGAGAGTCTTTTTGCCCCTAACTTTTTGTGGTGAGAACATTGAAGTTCTACTCTCTTGGCGAATTTCAATTATACAATAGAATGTCATCAACCAGAGTCACCAGGCTCTATATTAGATCCTCAGTCCCTGGTCACTTTATAACTGAAAGTTCCTACCATTTGATCAACCTCTTCTTATTTCCCCCACCTCCAGCCCCTGGCAACCACTGCTGTGCTCTGTTTCTATGAGTCTGACTTTTGTTTAGATTCCACATGTTAAGTGACACCTGCTGCATTTGTCTTTCTCTGTCTGGCTTATTTCACTTAGCAAAATGCCCTCCAGTTTCATTATTCATATTGTTGCAAATGACAGAATTTCCTTCTTTTTTAAGGCTGAATAATATTCCATGAAGAAATACGTATCATAAACATGTATTTATATATATATATATATATATATATCTCACATTTTCTTTATCCATTCATCCATTGACAAACACTTAGATTGTTTCCATTCCTGGGATGTGAATGATGCTGCTAATAACAGGGGAACATAGATATCTCTTTGAGACAATGATCTCATTTCCTTTGGATAAATTCCAGAAGTGGAATGGCTGGATCATTCTATTTTTAATTTCTTGAGGAACCTCCATACTGTTTTGCATAGCATCTGCACTGTACAGATGGTGGGAGTTCATACTCCCACCAGCAGTACACAAGCGTCCCCTTTTCTTCACAGCCTAGCCAGCACTTTTCTCTCGTCTTTTCGATATTAGACATCCTAACAGGTATGAGATGAGAAGAGCTTTAAAGTGCAGCAGAAAAGTCATAAAAAGCACCTGAGAGATCACTGGGTCCTACCACCTCACTTTATAGACACAAAAATTAAAGTCACAGAAGTTAAACGATTCGTCCAAGGTCAGAAAACCAGAGAGGCAGTTGTGTAGAGACTGTGGGGCAGTGGGGCCCCTGGCTCCAAGCAGAGGGATGGCTTGAGGAAAGGAGACTTTGTGAGAGGGGAATCTGGGGTCAGGAAGGATCAGGGTTGAGAACAGCAAATGTCAGGGAGGCCCAGAAACCACTCATGTTAGCAGGATAACAGGAAGATTGAATGACTTGAAGACTGGGCAGGTAAAGAGGATGGTGGCTTTGGAGTCCGGGGGTATCTGGTAGCCAAGGAGCAATAGCTCAAAAGCTTCGCTCTGGAGCCTCATCGTTCATGTAACTCGGCTCCCTCCGCTTGTCTGTTTCTGTCTGTCTGGCCACCATTTCCTGAACATTTTCTCATCACTTCCTGAACCCTTTTCAAAGGTCCTAACTTAAACACCAGGAGAGAGACTCACACCGGCCCAGCTCATCTTTTCAGTAGTCCTCAGTTCCCCTCGTCTAATCAGCTGTGGCAAGAGGGTCAAGACTACTTGATCAGCCTTTCGTAGAACAAAAGGAGGCAGGGCTGGCAATAATAATAATAATAATAATAATAATAATAATAATAATAATAATAATAATATAGCTAACATGCCTGGAGCACCTACTATGTGCCTTTCACTGCTCTGAATACTTGACAGTCATTATAACACAGACTTCACTTTTTACCCTATGCACCAGAATTATGAGCATTTCAGTTGGGGACATTTAATATCATAAGCCATGCACCTGTATCTCCATACTCTCCCACCCCAGATAAAAGGTTGTGTGTCTCCAATGCTTACACATCCTAACCTCTTCTCTCCCCTTCAGCATCTTCCTCCCAGCCACACACACACCCTGCAGAGGTTCGGTGCTCCCACTGGAGCTTCGTTCTCAAAGTGCTTCGTTTAAATGCCCATGGTCCGAAACCATCCCTACTCCTCCCCCCAACCCCATCCAAATCCTGCTGCTCTCAGCTCACCTCCGGCTCTCCGCCCCTCTCTTCACCTCACCCCAGAAAGCCTGATTTGTTGTCCAGGGCCTGCCCGTATTAGAGAGGCCTTTCTCCACAACAGATATTATGTTATTTTGATCACAGTGAAATAAAATTTCAAGGCACGAAGAGGGAGAGAATTTTCAAAGAGTTTCGCAGGCTCTGTGGACACAGTTTCCACACTCAGCATCCAGGAAGCAACACCCAGGATGCTCTGAATGGGGCCCTCTGATCCCCCAGGAACCCAGACCCCAGGGAGGACCCACAGTCTGCCCCAGAGCCTAAGGACGGGTCTGTGATAAGATAACTGTTTTACCTTTTGTCCCTCTTCCTGGAGCCCAAATATGGCCCAATAAGATGAAATGAGATAACAAACTTCTTTTGCCTTATTTGGTGACCCTAGGGATGGGTTTCTCCCTAACCTCTGTGTTTCAAAAAGATCCGGCAAGCAAGATTTTTCAGTCAAGGTAGTTTAAGCAAAGGTCTAGCGAGTGCTACTCTCTCTGAGCACAAATGCAAAAGGGCATAGTTTTCAAGAAAGAAGTCTCAAATCTGTTACAGCCTTTGTTCTTAATGGTGGAAACACTTCCATGGAAAAACCAGCAATCTCAGTCACCTTTGGGGACTTTCCTGAGCATCCCCCATAACAGTGTTGTTATGTGTTGTCAAATTAATAGTAATTAGGATTATTGCTCCAGCAACTTATTTATGTCTCATTGCCACGCGCTACAATAAAAATGATCGTGACAGATTTGCTCTGCTGTAAGCCTTATTTAATTACAATCCTTCACTTCCACGGATTTTGTCTTACTAGTGTACTGCTTACTTGTTATGCCGTCTGCTCAGAACCGAAAACACGTACGAAGCTAGTCGTCCTGGGGCTGTGTCCGGGTCTCTTCTTCTTCTTACAGCCTAGTGGGAAGGACTCGGCTTGACGTCTTCCGTCTTGACCATGGAAGGTAGAGATCCTGCCTCCACACCCCCAGAGCCCTTTCCCGCTTTGGCGCCACCTCTGAGAAGCTGGCTTCTCAAAAGGGACTTGCATGTGGGGCCGTGGGCCGTGGGGGTGAAGGGGGACCCAGGCTCCTCACCGAGACCCCTGACCGGGCTGTCTCCGCGCGGGGTCCGGGCGGCATCCTGAGCGCAGCGGCGATCCTGGCGGAGCCGGCGATGCTTC